CCAAGCCCCCCTCCCCATAGGGGCGGCATGCCCAGGGCCAGGGACCCCTATAGGCTTGCCACTCCCAGTTCTAGGGTCCCCTTTAGGACCACCAGGCCCAAGGCTAGGGCTATGGCCCCACTTAGGGGTGCCAGGCCCAGGGCCAGGGCTAGGGCCTCCCTTAGGGTCCCCAGGCCCAGAACCAGAGCCCACCTTAGAGGCGACAGGCTCTGGACCAGGGCCCCTCCCAAAGGCGCCAGACCCAGGGCCAGGGACCCCTTTAACGGTGGCAGGACCAGGACCCCCCTCTGGGAATACCAGACTCAGAGCCTGGGCCCCACTAGGGATGCCAGTGCCCTCCTGGGGCCAGAGTCTAAGCCCTCCTTGGGCCTGAATAAGGACCCCCCTAGGGGCGCCAGTGCCTCTAGGGCTGCCAGTGCCCCCACTATGGCCAGAGTCAGGACCCAGCTAGGGGCGCCATGGGCCTCCATGGCCCAAAGTCAGGGCCCCTATTGTGGTGCCAGGCCCCCCCTTAAGGGCACCAGGGCCCCCCTAGGGGTGCCAGGGCCCCCCTTAGGCCAGAGGTAGGGCCCCCTAGGGGTGCAAGGGCCCCTATAGGGGTGCTAGGACCCCCGCTTCTCAAGGATGCCTGGGCCGGGTGGATGGTCAAAGCCAGGGCACAGCCCCTCTAGGGGTAGCAGGGCCCCCCAGGGGAACCAGGCTTAGGACCAAGGACAGATCCAGGGCCATGGCCAGGTCCAGGGCCAGGGGTAGAGGCGCCTGAGCCCCTAGGGGCGTCAAGCCCAGGGCTAGGGGTGCCAAGGTCCCCCTAGGGACACTAGGATTAGGGTTTCAGACAGGGACAGGGCCCCTCGCCCTCTGGGGAGGGGGGCCATGGCACTAGCTCTGGGCCTGATTCCATCACCCTGGCCCTAGCCCTGGCCCTGGCTCAGGCAAAATCATGGACCTGGTCCTTGCTCTGGGGCATCTGGCCCGGGAGTTCTCTTGGCTCTGGTCTTGGTGATCCCCTGGACCTAACCCTGGGGACCCTAGGCCTTGGCCTTAGCCCTAGCCCGAGGGACCCCCCCTTGCCCTGGCCCAGAAATCCCCTTGGTCCTGGGCTTGGGCACCCCCTGGCCCTGGTTGGTGGACCCCCTGGCCTGGGGGATCCCCTGGCACTGTCCTGGGGGACACCATGACCCTGGCTCATGGCACTCCCTAGGCCTGACTCGGAGGTCACCCTAGCCCTGGCCCTGTACCCAGGGACCTCCTAGCCCTGGCCGGGGGAACCCCTGCCCTTGGCTCTAGCCCTGGGCAGGGGGAAACCAATGTCCCTGGCACGGGGAACTCCCTGGCCCTAGCCCTGGCCCATAGGACCCCTCTGACCCTGGCCCAGAGTAGCCCATGGCCTGGGGAAGCCACAAACAGGAGGGGGGAGGGGAGGAAGAGAGAGAGAGAGAGAGGTATCTGAGGAGGCCAGAAGTGAGTATCCCTGGGGCTGTAGTTACAGGGCTCTGGGAAAAGAATCCAGGAAGATCATTGCGTGTGTTCTCTGAGCCATCACATTAATTTCTTTAGTTGACATTCTGGGACAAGTGACAGGACATAGCTTTTGGGGATTGGTGGAGCCAGGCTTTTGCCCTAAAACTCTGGTTTCTGATATAATCGTGCAAAGGAGGAAATGATGGTTGTAATCTAAGTTGAAATTTCACAGTAACTATATATAGTAGCTTCTTTGACTTAAAAAAGGAGAGCTTTATAAACTCCCAGAATTCTGTTGCGTTTGCCTGCCAAGAGCTGGGATTAAAGACATGTACCACAACAGCCAGTTTTCCCTCAGGTTCCATACCTTGCTTTCCCTTGAATTTCCACTTATTTTTCATATTGTTTTAAGATGGTTTACAGATACCATGCTTGGTTTGGTATGTGCCAGGGTGAATCTCCCACCACCTAGCACACTGGTCATGGTGAGAGAGGAAGGAGGTGCAGGTGATGGATGGAATAACAGAAGAGTGAAGTTGCCAAGTGATTCCCAGGGAAGATGGTGTCCACCTCTCTATTTTGTCTGGGCTTAGTTTTTACAGCAATGAGTGGGTCTCATTGTGGTGGGGTTGACTCTCAGAAGGAGGCCATCCAATCCTATGCCCTGAAAATGGCTGCAGGGGAGAGGGACTGAACTGAGCCAACCTCTAGAGAGCCGTTCCCAGGCACCATCCATTTAGACCAGTGGCTCTCAACCTTCATTTAATACATACTCTTCAACCCCCAGAGAGTAGAGCCCCACAGGCTGAGAACCGCTGATCTAGATTAATGTAAGGCCATGGTCTTCTCATCCCTGTCACCAAAAAAGCTGGAAGGATGCCAACCACCCTCTGGGCCAAAGCTACTTTGGGGAGCCACAATCCCCTGTAGTCTCAGTTTCCTCGGCAACAGAGAAGCCTTACAGTCTGACTGTTGAGCTTCACCTGACACCTTGTGTTATGGTCTGGGGTGTGGCTTGGAATTCCAGCCCCGCCCAGGAGTTTTTCCTCTTCAAAACTGCACATATTGGAAAACGCTAAAGTGCTTTTCAGAAACATGATATTAAATGCTATCAGTTTTTTTCATGAAAATCATAATTTGCAAGAAAATGTAAGTTGATGTTATAAATTAAAAGTTGGAACACAGTTTTTTATATTAACTTCTTATGTTGATTCTTAATTATTTTCAAGGTCAGAACTTTTTGTTTCATTTTGTTTTGGTTTTTTGAGACAGGGCTTCTCTGTGTAGCTTTGGAGCCTGTCCTAGAACTCACTTTGTAGACCAGGCTGGCCTCAAACTCACCTTGAATTTACCCACCTCTGTCTCCCGAGTGCTGGGATCAAAGGTGTGTGCCACCACATCCAACTTATTTTGTTATTTTGAGACTGGATTTCTCTGTATTTTCTTGGCTGTCCTGGAACTTGCTTTGTAGGCCAAACTACCTGAAACTCACAGAGATCTGCCTGCCCCTGCTTCTGCCTGCAGGGGGCTGGGATCAAAGGTGCCACTACACCCAGCTAAGGTTAGCATTTTTAAAATCAGTGTGTCTTGGGTTGGGAGAATATGCAGAGCATTCCTGTGGAAGTCAGAGGACAACGTTATGAAGTCGGTTCTCTACATCCAGTTTATTTTTTCTTTTGAGACAGGGTCTCTCTATGCAATCCTGGCTGTCTTGGAGATCTACATGTATGTAGACAAGACTGGCCTTAAGTTTGCGGAGATCCTCCTGCCTCTGCCTCCTGAGTGACATCATGCCCAGCTTTCCATCTACTTTTTTTTCCCCCCAGACAAGAGTTTCTCTGTATTGCTTTGGAGGTTGTCCTGGAACTTGCTCTGTAGATCAGACTGGCTTCAAACTCACAGAGATCTGCCTGCCTTTGCCACCCCAGTGCTGGGATCAAAGGCATGCACCTCCAACACCCGGCTACATTTACTTTTATGTGAGTTCTGGAGATCTAATTAAGAACACCAGGCTTGCACAGCCAACACCTGTGCCTTCTGAGCCATTTAGCCCAAGGCCAAGCAGTTCTCACCAATTTTGGTCTTAAGGCCTCTTATTATTTTCAAGTCATTTTTTGAAACAGTGTCTCTCATATCCCAGATGGGTCCTGAGTTTGCTGTGTAGCCAAGGATGACCTTGAACAAATGGATCCTCTTACTGCCCCCTCCTCAGCCTGGAATGCCAGGTGTGTACCACCACTCCTGGTTTCTGCAGAACTGGTAGTATCCATACCTCCTCCTTTAAACCTTAAAATAAGTTTGCAACTTTGAAGTTTTATTTTAGTCTTGCTACATAAAAAAAATAAAATTAAGGACTGAGAGGAAGCTCTGGCAGGAACTATGCCTAATATATGTGAGACCCTAACTTCAATCCCCGGTGCAATGATTTGCTGGACTTGGATTTGCAGTAATACCCCCCCCCCTTAGTCTACACAGTGCTGGCATTACAGGTGAGATGCCTGGTGGTTCTGGAGAGATGGCTGATTCATTAAGAATAGTGGCTGTTCTTGCATAGGACCTAGGGCTGATTCCAAATTCCAGGGTATCCAATGCCCTCTCCTGTGGTCTGTGGGCAGGAAACATGTATGCGGTGCAGACATACATGCAAGTGTATCCATGACAAAATAAATGATTTCTAAAACAAATAGAAGATTAGAATTGCGTTATATTCCACAAACCCCACTGAGGTCTAGCTGAAGGGTTGGTAACCAGAGGCAACCATTACATCGAGTTTTCCCATTCATGTTTTTCCTTTATATTTAGCACTTTTTATATACCCATGAAACTTGAAATAGTATATACATTTTAATTTTAAAGTTACATTTATTTGTGTGCATACCTATACTTGCATCATGGTACATATGTGGAGTCAGTTCTCCCCTTGCTAATGTGTGGGTCCTGAATATGGAACTGGAGTAGTCAAGTTCGGTGGTAAGTACCTTTATTTTTGAAGACATCTTGCTAGCCCCCTCTTCTCCCCCCTCCCCCCCTCCGCAAGCAGTATGTTTTAAAATTTCAATTGCCTTTGTATTGTAAAAAGGATTTCCCATTTTTGTACAGCGACTTGCTTCATTCCCCAAAATGATGTTGTGTACTCATGCCATCCCCTCATCCATTTTCCTATAGCCATTCCCATGGCCCAGAATGTGGGGAAGAGATTAGGGGAACCTTGCCCTGCAGAGGCAGGCGTCCTAGAACAGGGGATGTAGCTTCACAGGGCTTCTCATTGCCTTCACATCCATTCACTACCCAGACATCACCCTTCCATTCCTTCTCTTCCTCCCCGCCTCTCCACTCCAATCAGTTTTGAAGTGTTGGGAAGCGGGGAGGCACCGCAGCCTGCACAATGACCGACCATCTCACCAATTTACTGACGCTAGGAAACAATCCTAAGCCCCGCCCCGCCCCAGGCCCCGCCCCTCCACACGCACGCGCCGGTAACGAACGTCACCTCTCTGCGCCGGAAGTATACCAGGTTGAGGCCGGGAGGGTTGCCGACCGCGATGTAGCTTCCCTCGCTGGCGTGAGCGATGCGGTGGCTCCTGCCGCTGTCCCACACAGTGACACTGTCCGTCGTGCGCGTGAGGCGAGGCATTTGCGGGCTCGGGATGTTCTATGCGGTGAGGAGGGGCCGCAGGATCGGCGTCTTCCTGAGTTGGTGAGAAGGAGCCCGGCGGAGCCCTTTATTGCAAACACCAGACAGCTGGTTTAGTCATTCTACGTTGCAGTCAAAGGCTACCAAAGAGCACATAGACCCATTGCAGACCAGAGTTGGCACGAGGATCCCCGTGTTCTGACCGCCCCTGTGGGTGTTTTGTTTGTGAGACAGGACGCCCTCCCTGAACCAACTTGGCCCTCTGAGTTTTCTGACTTCATTTCCCAAATTCAGGGATTGCAGATAGGCACCACTGTGCTCGGTTTATGTAGTATCGGGATTCGAACCCAGGGCTCAGCGCATGCTAGACAAACAGCGGAGCTACGTCCTCAGCCCCTCTTGTTTTTAAAGAATAGCCGTTGCCAGGTGTGCTGGCACATGTTTGTAAACTCAGTACTGGTGATTCTGAAGCAAAATGATCACTACAAGTTAGAGGTCAGCATGGACTGTGGAAGGAGACCTCAGAGGAGAGGAGGAGGGAAAGAGAGAGATGGAGAGCCTCAAGCTAGAAGTTAGTCTTTGCCTTTTGTAGCACCCCCTGAAGGCAGAATCAGGGCTTGAACCCAGGTTTGGGCATATATGACAGTAAGCTGCTGATGTCAATGTTTGTTGTCCCCATGAGCCTGTCTAATTCCCTAAGCTCAGTGGCAACACTGCTGAGAAGCGCTATCTCAGGTTCCAGCCCCTTTTCTGTGATTTATTTTTGTTTGTCCTGGTTTTTGCTTTTGTTCTCTCTCTCTCTCTCTCTCTCTCTCTCTCTCTCTCTCTCTCTCTCTCTGTCTCTCTCTGTCTCTTTTGAGACAGGGTTTCTTTTTGTAGCCTTGGCTGTTCTAGAACTCACTGTAGACCAGATCTGTCTGCCTCTGCCTCCAGAGCTCTGAGATTAAGGGTGAGTGCCACCACTGCCCAGCTTGATTGATTCTCCCTTTCCCTCTCCCTCTCCAGGGTATCTCTGTGTAGCTTTGGAGCCTGTCTTAGAACTCTCTCTGTATACCTTGGACTTGAATTCACAGAGATCTACCTGCCTCTGCCTCCCGAGCACTAGGATCAAAGGCATAAGCCACCACCGTCAGGCTATTTTGATTGATTATTAAAGAAAACGGAATTTTAGTGTGCACTGGAGTTGTGGAAGACCTCATAGTATTAGTGTACCACCTGGATGGCATTTAGAAGAATGGTCAGGCCAGTCAACACAGAAATGAAACTAAATTGTGAGTCATATTATGTAGACCTAAAGTGAATTATCAAAGATGAAATATTATGAAAGTACACTTGCTATATCATGTTAAGAGAAAAAGGCAATTTGAAATGGTCTACGTTGTGTGATTCCTACTATATGACATCTAGGAACAAATACAGAAATTGCAAGTCAAATCAGGGGTTTTTAGGGGTTGGAACTGAGGGAGGGATGATTATGAGAGCAGACAGGTTTTGTTATCTGGAGACAGGCAGGCCTTCAGTTGAACTAGCTAGACCTTGAACTAGATGACCTTGAACTTCTGATCTTTTGTCTCCACTTCCCAAATGCTGGGATTATATGTGTGTATGCCCAAACCAAGGTGTTTTGGGGACAGGGTTTCCAGGTGGCACTGACTAGCCTAGACTTGCATATAGATCAGGGTGGTATTGAACTTGTGATCCTCCTTCCTCTGCCTCTAGAGTATGGAGTTATAGACATACCACTCCCAGCCTACAGGAGGGGCTTTCTAATGCATGAGATTGATCTGGGTGGCCAATGTAGGCCCAGGTCACTGTCATTACACATTCACTAAACCTGTAACTTTTTTTGTTTGGTTTTTTTGGAGACAGGATTTCTTTGTGTAACAGGCCTAGCTGTCAGACCTGTAAACTTTACAACATGAGTGAGCCCCCCCCCCCATTGTAAGCAGTGGACTAGTAATATTTGGCAGCAGAGGCTTAAAAGGACTTTCAACTTTCTGTTCCTATTTGATCTCTGTAAGTTCAAGGCTAGCCTGGTCTGCAGAGTGAGTTCCAAGACAGCCAAGACTACACGGAGAAACCCTGTCTTGAAAAACCAATAGAATAAAATAAAATAAATAAAACAACAAATAAGGATGTGTTGAAGAGGGAATGAAGCTGGGCTAATAATGTGTGCTCTTCCAGGAATGAGTGCAAAGAACAGGTGGACCGGTTTCCTGCTGCCAGGTTTAAGAAATTTGCCACAGAAGATGAAGCTTGGGCATTTGTCAGGAACTCTCCAAGCCCAGATGGTTCAAAAGGTATGTAATATTAGCGTGAAGTTTTAACCTATGAAACGTCCCTTGCATCCCTAACATCACAGTATGTACTTTTGTAGAGGAGATGAAATGATTGTCTGTTTTCCCCTGTGCAGATTAGACTTAAGAATAGTAGTTCAAGCCAGGTGATGGTGGCATAAGACTTTAATATCATAGAGGCAGAGGTAACCAGATTTCCAAGTTCAAGGCCAGCCTAATCTATAGATAAGAGTTCTAGGACAGCCAAAGATAAACAGGAAACCTGTCTCAAAAACAAACAAACAAACAAACAAAAAAAAAAAAAAAAAAAAAAAGTGGTTCAGAGGACCAGAGTTTGATTCTTGGCATCCAAGTTAGGTGACACAATTTCCTGTAACTCAGGAGGGATGAACGCTTAAACATACACACACACACACACACACACACACACACACACACACACACACGGTTTATGTGCCTAGGATTGGCAATTCAAGGCATGAAAGACACAGCTATTTCCAGAACTGGCTTACATGGCAGGATCCTGTAAGAACAAACAAACAAACAAACAAACAGAATGTTATTAGTTCTAGGACTCTGTTCTCCAGTACAGTGCTCATAATGTCACTAGGCCATAGTCCATAGAATCACACCACTTAAATTTGTGTGTGTGTTTTTTTTTTTTCTTAGCTGAAGAATCTTTTTTTTTAAAGATTTTATTTATTTGTTTATTATGTATACAGTGTCATATCTGCATGTTTGCCTGCACACCAGAAGAGGGCACCAGATCTCATTACAGATGGTTGTAGCCACCTTGTACTTGCTGGGAATTGAGCTCAGGACCTCTGGAAGAGCAGCCAGTGCTCTTAACCACTAAGCCATCTCTCCAGCTCCCCACTTTAGCTTCTTTATATTTCATGTGTCAAAAAAATCCTGGAAGCAAGAGGCCTACTATAAAGGACACCAGATTTAGATCACACATACAGGACTCAGGTCAGCAAGCTGACTAATTTAGAAAACTGGACCAAAACAAACAAAACAAAACAAAAATCCCTATATCTAAACCTCCCTTGGAAAGTGGGGTTTCAAGATCTTTTTATTTATTCATCTATTACTATTTATCCTCAGTGGGAGCCATGGAGTCTGTGATGGGTTGTCTCAACCATTCCCTTTTGGTAGGGTTACATCTAGAGTGTTCCACCCCAGTCCGGTGTGATAACGGTAAAAACTCTTCCAGAACACTGTCTGGTTTTGGGTCATAATTAGAATCCTTTTTTCTTCAGGGCAGGAAACCGCTCGTGTACAGGAATCACAGGTAAAGACCAGCAAGCGGCCTCGGGAGCCCATGGGTAAAGGGGAAGAGCTGGCAGAGCCTGGGCCAAAGCACACAAGACAGAGCATGGAGCTGGCTCCGCCAGTGAGCAAGGACACCTTTTCTTACATGGGTATGCCTTTCATGGGTTCAGAACTTTTAGACAAGTTATGAAAAAAGTGAACAATGATCAGCATGAAATCTTTTCCTTTCTAAATGAGAAGGAATTTAAGTTGTTTTGTTGTTGGTCTTTTTGAGACAGGGTCTTAGGGTGTTGTTAAGAGTATGTTCCCCTGCTGGTTTGGACCCACAGCCACACCAGCCCCAAATAACACACTGTATTCGATATAAAGCCGCTGTATTAGATATAAAGCTATTAGCCTGTTACTAGTATTTCTTATTGGCTAGCTCTGTCTTAAAGATTAACCCATTTCTATCAATCTAAGTGTTTCCATGTGATCTTATCTTACCAGAGAGAGGGCCCGGACCTCTGGTCTCTCCAGTCTCTCCATGTTGACCCCTCCTTACTACTACTTTCTCTCTCCTCCTTGTCTCTTAGTCCCACCTATCTTGCTTTCCTATTGGCCAAGAGTGCTTTATTCATTAACCAATAAGAGAAACATATTTACAGAATGACATCTCCCATCAGTGTGTAGCCTTGGTGGTCTCGAACTCAGAGCCTTCCAGTGCCAGAAGCCATGCTAAAAGTTTAAGCTGAGTTTTAGCCCTGTTTTTTTTTTTTTTTTCTGAAAATATCTCTAGAAACTTCTGAGGTCTTTTATTTTGGAGGGAGGACATTAACAAAAAGGCCCCTTGGTCTTCTCCTTGGTAGACCAGGGCTCTTATTGATGTGCTCCTACCCTTTTACTTTTTATTCTGAGCACGATCTCACTGAGTTACCCAGGGTTGATTTGAACTCCCCCCTTTGAAGCCCAGGCTAGCCTTGAACTTGCTATCCTCTTTCTTTAGCCTCCCAGCAGCCAGGCCTGGCAATGAGGCTGCTATTTTCTTTTCTTTTCCTTTTTTTATTTGCTGTTTTAATGGTCTCAATATAAAGTTGTTTTTATAGACTATTGGCCTCTGGCTTTAATGAAAATATCAGCTCAGCAGAAGTTTACTTCCACTGTGACTGATGAGCTTTAAAGGGAGGAGGCGGCTGATGGAGACCGAGGCCTTCTCAGCCCTCACATTTAGCTTTCTTGCAAGCTGGTAGACAGTCTTCATCCACTTCTGATGGCCAAGGTTTCTTCACTGTAGAAGTAATCCCAAAATTAGTTTTTCTAGTTTCTCCATGGAGGAATGCATCTTGGCAATTTGTGGACACAGCTGTGGCTTCATTTTCAGACATCCCAAACAGTAGCTTTAGGTTTGCCACATAATATGGTCCTCGGATTTCCAAAGGCCTCTCTGCAGCACTGGAGAGAATTACATTCTTTCCTTTGCAGATCTGCAGCAAATTGGGGGCACCGGAAATTGTGTACATTCTCATCATTGTGTCTCTGATAGCAGGGCCATAGACAAAGTTCAAAGCCCAGACCTCGGTCAATTGCCACATAAATAGGGGGTCATTTGAAGTAAAATGGTAATTTCTCTGTTACAGTTATGCATACTAAATCCACATCTAAAATGTGTGCAAGCAACATGAAAAGGTCTTTCTGTCTTTGGAAACTGCAGCAATATCATACAGCTGGACTATCATACAGCTGGACCCATGAAGAAGTTGCTCTCAAAACATTACAGTGAGATGGATCTGTAACTATAATTGTCAATTTAGTTAAAATTTTAATCAGTCTTGATTTTCCCTATACAATTGGTAAAGTTGTGAAGAGTTCAGAAACTGCTACTGGCTTTTCAATTTCCTGTTTCTTTTCCTTAAAGTCAACAATGAGATTGATGGCAACAACTGAATATCCAAGGTGAGCAGCAGTCTCCACTAGTCCTCGTAGAGCCTTCAGGTCTGAGCCTGCTCTTAGATTTTTTTTTTTTTTTTAGACAGGGTTTCTCTGTGCATCTCTGGCTGTCCTGGCACTGGCTTTGTAGACCACGTTGACCGCAAACTCAGAAATCTGCCTGCCGCTGCCTCCTAAACACTGGGATTAAAGGAGTGCGCCACCACTGCCTGTCAAGGCCACTATTTTATATATAGCTCGTCAAATAGTGTAAAATCATTAATCTCTTGGAAATTTTTAGGAAACCCTTAAGTAGCCAGAGGCTACTGAGCAAAGGAAGGAGGGCGGCTCATACAGAGCTGTCTATTAGAGCTGAGCAGTGCCAGCATGTAGCCATTTGTCCAGCTTTCAGACCTCACTGTGTCCTCAGAAAAAGAGATCTTCCTATGTTTAGTTCCAAAGGCAGTTTGTGCTCTCAGTAACTGTAGTATGTAAATTTCCTTTTTTTCTTACATACTTGGGAACAGAAAGAGGCAGCATTTAAAGATGAATCAGCATTGGTATGTTATTGTGGTTTAATAAGGATCAGGAAAAACAAATAGGCTGAATAGATGTTTATTGAGGGAGAAATAACTTACAACAGAGACAGATGAACACCAGCAGGTTCTTGGTCCCAAGGATGCTTCCAGATGCTCTTCTGTCCCAGTGCTGCAGACTTAATTCCCCCTGTCACAACCCCAGTGGGTGTGGTCAGTGTCATATGTGTGGACAAAGTGAGTATCTCCCTACAGTATGTCCTGAGTCTTTGCAAAGAGGCAGCCATCTGTACTTACCTACAGGAAAAGCACCAGAAGATACTGGAGTTGTGCTAGTCCATGGGTTTGGCAGTTATCTAAGACGAACAAGTGTCCTTTCACTGCTCAACGTGCTGCACAGTTCTATGTCAGCTTGACACAGACTTGAGTCATCTAAGGGGACGGAACCCCAATTAGGAAAATGTCTCCATAAGATCAGGGTATTGGCATTTTCTTAGTGATTGATGGAGAAGGGCATGGCCCACAGTGTGGTGCCATCCCTGAGTTTGTGGCCCTGGGTAAAAAGCAAGCCATAGGAGCAAGCCAGTAAGCAGTTCCCCTCCATGGCCCCTTCATCAGCTCCTGCCACCAGGTTCCTACCCTGTTTGAGTCCTATCCTGACTCCTTCTTGTGATGTACTAAGATGTGCGTGAGCCAGATAAACCCTTTCCTCCAAGTTGCTTTTAGTCATGGTGTCTCATCATTGCCGTAGAAACCCCAATTCAGACACTCATCAACAGAACCTAAGGGATGAGCCATTTCCAGCATGCCAGCTATCACTTGGCACAGTCTTTAAGGATGGTTTAGTTGTGTGGGTGGAAACCAAGTTCCGGCTGACAGAGGCCTGCCCAGCCTCTGCTCAAATGTCTGCAGCCTTGCTTCTTTGAGGGCCCCTGGTCTCCATGCTTCCCCTGAGCCTGTGGTGCTCAGGTTGCTGTCCTCTGGATAGTGTCTCCTGTTGTGGTGGTCTCTGATGGCCCCTCTTCCACCTCAGACACTTTGCCAGTCAGCCTGTCCCTGCCCTCTGCTGAGGGTGCTGCTGAACACGCTCGGGCCTGATAGGGGATCCAGGTCTGTCCTTCCCACTTAAGCAAACCATGTTTGAAAGGAAGCAGAGGTGAGAACTGCTTTACAGATATCGGCAAATGTGCTAAGAGAAAATGAGACCACTTCCTGGCAAACTTGACTTTTTGGCATGTGGAGCCAACATCATGCCAAGTATTGCCTTCTCTGGAAAGACAACTTGAGAGTGAAGGAGCCAGCCGCAAGGGACCCCTTTAGTTTGAGGTATAAACAGGTCTCACAATGGGACAAGCAAAAAGTGGCCACGCCCCATAGGGGAAAATCCACGTCATTATGCATGACAGTGGATCAGTGGTTAGCAGATTGGTACAGTGACCTCCCTCTTCCTTCTTGCAGGAGAATCAGTTGTTGTTTACACCGATGGCTGCTGCTCCAGTAACGGGAGGAGGCGGGCCAGAGCAGGAATCGGCGTGTACTGGGGGCCAGGCCATCCCTTGTAAGTAAACTCAGTTGAGTTTGAACATCACATTTTTACCAAGTCCTGGCAGGATCTGCTTAGTGGTGTGTTCTTGGGGGAGCCTGCCAGGTAAAGAGCTTTGCTAGGGATAGACGACCAGCTTTGATTTATATCAGTGCCAGGCAGCTTGGTTCTTGACAGCTCCAGATACTGAAACTTGATATTGTTTCTCTGGGCCTAATTTGTACAAGTCTGAAAGTAGAGGATCCAGCCCACAGTAATGAATGCAGTGACAGGGTACTAGCTCCAAACCCATCCCGTCACTAGACTTCTAGACTAGTTTTTTTTTTTTTTTTTTTTTTTTTTTTTTTTTTGAGGCAGGGTCTCCTTCTGTAGCCTTGGCAGTCCTGGAACTCATTGTGAGGCCAGGATGGCCTGGTGGCACTCATAGGATCCTCCTGCCTCTTTCTCTGGGGTGCTGGGTCACCACACCTGGTGGGTTTTAGACTTTTGAAGATGTTTAACCTAGAGACAGTCAGAAAGCACAGCCAAAGGGTTGAGACTAGACCATTCACATATACTCAGTCCCTACAGTGAAAGATTTGGAATAGTGGCTGTCAGCCACCCCTGAAGTGTTCATAGACCAGGTATGAGGTTCATTGGGAACTGCTGTCAGACAGTTTGTAAATGTTCATCGATTTTAAAATTATTTTAAACTTTCCATTTTAAATATTTTCATGTATTCAACATATTAACTAACTTCTGTAATAAGAGTGTTTGTTTTGTTTTATTTTGTTTTTGTTCTCACTGTGTAGCCCTGGCTGGCTTGTAACTCATGGAGATTCTCTTGCTTCAGCCTCTCTAGTGGTGGTATTAAAGTGTACACCAAACTAGGCAGTGATGGCTAAGGCCTTTCAAGAAATCGTGTGTACAACCATGCTCAGCTTTGCATAATGAACTTTTTATCCAGAGCTCTCTATGTAGATCAGACTGGCCTTCCAACTCACAGAGATCCTCTAGTGTTTTGATGTTTGCAGGTGTTGGTATTTGGACCTGGGTCTTGTGGGTGCTTGGCACAGAGCTATGTCCCAGCCTTGATGTGTGTGTGTGTTGGAAATTCTTGTTGTACCTTTTCTGAGGCTATTCTCATATAGATAATATGTATGTTTTTTGTTTTTTTCTTATTTTACATTTCTATCCCAGTTCCCACTCTCCCTCCTGATACTCCCCCATTCAATCCCCCCCCCCCCACACACACACACCACAAGGAGGGTGATGCCTTCCAGGAGCGATCAACAAAATCTGTCAGGTCATTTAGAGTAGGGACTAGTCCCTCCCTCCTGCCTCTAGGCTAAGGGAGTGTCCCTCCATTGGGAATGTGCTCCCAAAGTCCTTTTGTGCACCAGGAATACATCCTGGTTCCACTGTCAGAGGTCCTTTAGACTTGCCAGGCCTTCTAACCGAGACCCATTTTCAGAGGGTCTGAGTCAGTACAATGCTGATTTCTCAGCTATCAGTCTGGGGGTCCATGAACTCCTCCTTGTTCAGGTCAACTATCTCTGGGTTTCTGTAACCTGGTGTTGATCCCTTTTCTTATCACTCCTCCCTCTCTGTAACTGGATTCCAGGAGTTCGGCTAATGTTAAGCTGTGGATGTTTGCTTCTGTTTCCATCAGCTACTAGATTAAGGCTCTATGATGGCATATAAGTTAGTTATCAAACTCATTATCAGGGAAGGACATTTAAGGTAGCCTCTCCACTGTTGCTCAGATTGTTAGTTGGAGTCATCCTTGTAGGTCTCTGGATATTTCTCTAGAGTCAGTTTTCTCTTCAAACCTATAATGGCTTCCTCTATTATGATCTCTCTCTCTCTCTCTTTTTTTTTTTTTCTTTTGCCTCTTTTCTATTCGTCCCCTGACTCAATCTACCTGGTCCCACATGTTCTTCTCTCCTCCCCTTCTCTTTCTCCTAACTCCTTCTCTACTCACTGCTCCCTCCCCACTAACAGTATGCTCAGGAGATCGTGTATCTTTCCCCTCCTGTGAGGGACCTTGTATGGATCTCTTAGGTTTCTCCTTGTATCCTAGTGTCTCTGGTGGTGTGAATTATAGGCTGATGATCCTTTGCTCTGTGTCTAAAATCCATATATGAGTGAGTACATACCATGTTCCTCCTTTTGTGACTGGGTTACCTCATTCAGGATGGTTTCTTCAAGTGCCATCCACTTGCCTGCGAATTTCAAGATTCCATTTTTTTTTTTTTTTTTCTGCTGAGTAGTATTCCATTGTGTGAATATACCACATCTTCTTTATCCATTTTTCAGTTGAGGGGCATCTAGGTTGTTTCCAAGTTCTTGCTATTACAAACAATGCTGTTATGAACATAGCTGAACAGATGTTTTTGTTGCATGGATGTGGGTCATTTGGGTATATGCCTAAGAATGGAATTGTCGGGTCCTGTGGTAGACTGATTCCCATTTTCCGGAAGAACCCCCATACTGATCTCCAAAATGGCTGTACAGGTTTGTACTCCCACCGGCAGTGGAGGAGTGTTACCCCTTCTCCACATCCTCTCCAGTATAAGCTGTCATTGGTATTTCTGATTTTAGCCATTCTGGCAGGAGTAAGATGGTATCTCAGAGTGGTTTTGATTTCCATTTCCCTGTTGTCTAAGAATGTTGAGCACTTTCTTAAGTGTCTTTCAGCCATTTTGGATTCCTCTATTGAGAATTCTCTCTTCAGTTCTGTACCCCACTTTTTAATAGGGTTATTTGGTGTTTTGGTGACTAGTTTCTTGAGTTCTTTGTATATTTTGGAGATCAGCCTTCTGTCAGATGTGGGGTTGGTGATCTTTTCCCAGTCTGTGGGCTGCCATTTGGTCTTGTCAACTGTGCCCTTTGCCTTACAGAAGCTTCTCATTTTGAAGAGGTCCCATTTATTAATTGTTTCTCTCAGTGTCTGTGCCCCTGTAGTTATGTTCAGGAAGCGGTCTCCTATACCAATTCATTCAAGGGTACCTCCCACTTTCTCTCCTAAGAGGTTCAGTGTGGCTGGATTTATGTTGTTTTTGATCCATTTGGACTTACAAGATTTGTGCATGGCTATACATATGGATCTATCCGCAATCTTCTACACACCATCATCCAGTTGTGCTAGCACCATTTGTTGAAGTTGTTTTCCTCCTTCCATTGTATAATTTTAGCTGTTTTGTCAAAAATCAGGTGTTCATAGGTGTGTGGGTTAATATCAGGATTTTCAATTTGATTCCATTGGTCTACCTGTCTATTTTTGTGCCAATACCAGACTGTTTTCAGAACTATTAGCTCTGTAGTAGAGCTTAAAGTCAGGGATGGTGATGCCTCCTGAAGTTCCTTTATTGTACAAGGTTGTTTTGGCTATCCTGGGTCTTTTGTTTTTCCATATAAAGTTGAGTTTTTCCTTTTAAGGTCAGTGAAGAATTGTGCTAGGATTTTGATGGGGATTGCATTGAATCTGTAGATTGCTTTTGGCAAGATTGCCATTTTTACTATGTTTATCCTACCTATCCAAGAGCATGGGAGATCTTTTTATTTTCTGGTATCTTCTTTAATTTCTTTAAAGACACAAAGTTCTTGCTATATAGGTCTTTCACATGTTAGGTAAGTGTTACCCCAAGATACTTTATGTTGTCTGTGGCTATTGTAAAGGACGATATTTGTCTTATTTCTTTCTCAGCCTCTTTGTCATCTGATTTTTTTGAGTTAATCTTGTATCCTGATAATTTGCTGAAGGTGTTTATTAGCAGTAGGAGTTCCCTAGTAGTTTTTTTTTGTTTGTTTGTTTGTTTGTTTGGTTACTTATGTAAACTATCATATCATCTGCAAATAGAGACAGTTTGACTTCTTCCTTTCCAATTTGGATCCCCTTGATCTCCCTTTGTTGTCTTATTGCTCTACCTAGAACTTCAGGTACAATATTGAAGAGATAATGAGAAAGTGGGCAGCCTTGTCTTGTTCCTCATTTTAGAGGAATCGCCTTAAGCTTCTCTCTACTCAGTTTGATGTTGGCTGTTGGTTTACTGTATATTGCTTTTGTTTAGGTAAAAGACCTTTATCATGAAAGGGTGCTGGATTTTGTCAAAGGCTTTTTCAACATCTAGTGAGATGATCATATGAGTTTTTTTTTTTTCCAGTTTGTTTATGTGTTGGATCACATTGATAGATTTTCATGTATTGAACCATCCTTGTGTCCCTGGGATGAAGCCTACTTGGTCATGGTGGATGATTTCTCTGATGTATTCTTGGATTCAACTTGCCAGTATTATATTGAGTATTTTTACATCAATATTCATGAGGGATATTGGTCTGTAGTTCTCTTTCTTAGTTATGTCTTTCTGTGGCTTGGGTACCAAGGTAATTGTAGCCTTGTAAAGAGTTTGGTAATGACCCTTTTGCTTCTGTTGTGTGGAAGACTTTGAGGCATATTGGTATTAGCTGTTCTTTGAATTTCTGGTAGAATTCTGCACTGAAGCCATCTGGCCCTGGGCTTTTTTTGGTTGGGAAGCTTTTGGTGACTCTTATTATTTTATTACGGTTATAGGTCTATTTAAATTGCTTATCTGTTCTTGATTTAATTTTGGAAAGTGATAGCTATCCAGAAATTTGTCCATATCCTTTGAATTTTCGAATTTTGTGGAGTACAGGTTTTCAAAGTATGACCTGAAAATTCTCTGGATTTCTTCCGTTGTTATGCCCCCCTTTTCATTTCTGATTTTGTTGATTTGCATGTTCTTTTTCTGCTTTTTGGTTAGTTTGGATAGAGGTTTGCCTATCTTGTTGATTTTCTCAAAGAACCAACTCTTTGTCACATTGATTCTTTGTATTGTTTTCCTAGTTTCTACTTTATTGATTTCAGCCCTCAAATTGATTATTTCCTGGCGTCTACTCTTCTGGCGTGAGTTTGCTTCTTTTTGTTCTAGGGCTTTCAGTTGTGCTGTTAATTCTCTAATGTGACTATCCTCCGTTTTCTTCATATGGGCACTTAGTGGGAAGAACTTCCCTCATAGCACTGCTTTCAAAGTGTCCCACAAGTTTGGGTTTGTTGTGTCTTCATTCTCATTGAATTCTAGGAAACCTTTAATTCCTTTATTTCTTCCTTGACCCAGGAATGGTGCAGTTGTGCATTGTTCCATTTCAGTGAGTTTGTAGGGTTTCTGCAATTTGTGTTGTTGAATTCCAACTTTCATGCATGGTGGTCTGATAAGATACAGGGGGCTATTCCAATTTTTTTGTATCTGTTGAGGATTGTTGTGTTGCCTAGTATGTGGTCGATTTTCGAGAAGATTCCATGTGGAGCAGAGAAGAAGGTATATTCTTTGTGTTTGGATGGAATATTCTAGAGATGTCTGTAAAACCTACTTGGAACAAAACTTCTGTGAGTTCTTTTGTTTCTTTGTTAAGTTTCTGTCTGGTGGTCTTGTCCAGTGGTGAGAGTGGGGTGTTGAGGTCACCTACTATCAGTGTGTGAGGTTTTTTGGGATCTTTGAGTTTTAGTACGAATGTAGTTGCCTTTGTATTTGGGGCATACATGTTCAGAATTGAGACTTTGTACTGATGGATTTCTTCTATGATGAATATGAAATGACCTTCATTTCTTTTGATTGATTTTGGTTTGAAGTCTAACTTGTTAGATATTAGGATAGCTACACCTACTTGCTTCTTGGGTCCATTTGACTGGAAGATCTTTTCCCAACCCTTTACCCTGAGGTAGTGTCTGTCTTTGAAGCTTAGATGTGTTTCTTGTATGCAGCAGAAGGATGGATTCTGTCTTCATATCATTCTGTTAGCCTGTGTCTTTTTATAGGCGAGTTAAGACCATTAATGTTAAGGAAAAGTAAGGACCATTGATTGTTAATGCTTGCTTGTTTTAGATTTGTTTTTGGCTGTAGTATTGTGAGTATATTTGCCCCACTTTTTCTTTTGGGTTCTGGTAAAGTGGGATTATCTATTGCCTATGTCTTTGTGAGTGTAGTTAACTTCCTTGTGTTGGAGTTTTCTTTTTAGAACTTTCTGTAGGGTTGGATTTTTGGATATGTATTGTGAAAATCTGCCTTTGTCATTGAATATCTTATTTTCTCCTTCTATAGTGATTGAGAGTTTTGCTGGGTATAGTAGCCTGAGCTGGCATTCGTAGAACATCTATCCAGGGCTTTCTAGCCTTGAGAGTTTCCTTAGAGAAGTCAGGTATAATTTTGATAGGTCTGCCTTTATATGTTATCTGGCCTTTTTTCCTTCGATGCTCTTAATATTCTTTCTTTATTCTGTATGTTAGTGTTTTGATTATTATGTTGCGAGTGGAGTTTTTTTTTTTTTTTTTTTTTTTTGGGGGGGTGTGTGTGTCCAGTCTATTTGGTGTTCAGTATGCTTTTGAACTTTTATAGGCATGTCCTTGTTCAGATTGGGAAAGTTTTCCTCAATGATTTTGTTGAATATGTTTTCTCCACCTTTGAGCTGCCTATTATTCTTAGGTTTGGCCTTTTCATGGTGTTCCACATTCCTTGGATGTTTTGTTTTAAGGATTTGTTGGATTTAGGATTTTCTTTGGTCAATGAATCTATTTCTTCTAGTTTATCTTCAGCACCTGAGAGTCTCCGAGCTCTTGTATGCTGTTGGTTATGCTTGCATCTGTAGTTGCCGATCATTTGTCCACTTTTTCTATTTCCAGAATTCCCTCAGTTTGTGTTTTCTTTATTGTTTCTATTTCAGTTTTCAGGTCTTGAACTGTTTGAATTGTTTCTTTTATCTGTTTGATTGTTTTTTTGTTTTGTTTTGTTTTTTCTTTCTTGTCTCTTTAAGCGATTTGTTCATTTCTTGCATTTTTTGCTTGGTCTTTTCCTCTATATCTTCTATTTTTTTTTTTTTTTTTTTTTTTTTTTTTTTTTATCTTCCATTTCTTTAAGGGATTTTCTCATGTCTTTGAGGGCCTCTTATCATTTTTTGTGGTTATTTTTTAAGTCATTCTCTTCTGCTTTATTAGCATTGGTGTGTTCAGGTCTAGTTGGTGTAGAGTCCCTAGATTCTGGTGGTGTCATGCTTGTCTTTCTATTGTTGGGTGTTTTCTTGTATTGCCATCTTCCCATTGCTTCTTCTTCTAGTGGGTGCAGGTGGAGTCTCTCTCTTTCTCTCTACTTTACTCTCCCGGGGAGTGTAGGTGGGTCAGGAGTTCGATGTCTGTAACACTCCATGTTCTGAGCTCTCTTGGAGGTCTCTGGCAGAGGGCCCAAAGGTCAGATGAGTGTGCCCTCAAGGTGGTCCCACATGGATAGGTGGTTCCAGTATGCTCAAAGCCTATCCCGGAAGTTCAAGGAGGTGGAGGGGTGTTGGACCAGCACTCTGGCCCAATGCTCACCCCAAGCAGTGGGCCCAGCAGGACCAAGGGTGAGGGGAAGACCAAGGGCGGGTGGTGTATCCTTGGTGTGGTGAGGCTGTTTTTTGTATGTAGGTTTTATGTTTCAGTTGGAAATGAACAATAGTTTGTTATTATCCATTGAGAAGAATCACTTTGGGAATGGCATTGTAATTTTGTTTTTTTTTCTTTTGTGTGCTGTTTTGAAACAGAAATGTTGGTGTTAGACTTCCTGGGCGACAGACAAACCAGAGGGCCGAGATCCATGTAAGTTCCCAGATAATCATGAGTCTGCCTTTCCTCCATGTGACCACAAGGTCAGTCTTGTTCCCTTCCTTTATTGTCTTGCACGGAAGGTATTGAAAGCCCAAAAGAAACTTTAAGGCTAGCAACAGTCTTCAAAGCCTCTAGAAAAGTTCTAGAATCATTTCATGTAGGTTCCATGGGGGCACTGTAGGTTTGGCCTCTTCACATAGAGAAGACATCATGGTGTTACAGAAGGAATAGTGCTTCAGGCTTAAAGCACTCAGTCGGTAATGCAAAGAGTCTAGCATTTTCTATGTAGCATGACAATGGACTTGGTTTTTCAAGGCAGCCTGCAAAGCCATCATGCAAGCCAAGGCTCAGAACATCAGCAAGCTGGTTCTTTACACAGACAGCATGTTCACCATCAACGGTAAGCTTTTGTGGACGTGGAGAAAGGGAACAGGTCTTTCTTCCTAGTAGGAGGTGTAACAGTCTGGATGACACTGGGCTTTTCTGGTCAGAGGAATAGGAGTCTAGGTCTGCTGTCTTGGGGTTGGGAACTCCTTGACTCCGTAATACCTGAGGTCAGGATGTTAGTAACCTCAGGTCACAGTGTGCTGGCTCTGGGGTTGGGGGAGGCTGAGCTGTTGTTCCTCTGATTGGATGCGGGAAGAGGAAAGGTTGGGGCCTTGGGACTGTGCTGAAGGCTTGCTTTAAGAGGGAGAGGAGCACCTAAGGAAGATAACCATCCAGGTTTTGACTTGGAACAAGAGGAACTGTTTCAAGGAGAGACTAGGGGCCAGGAGAGGCCAGACCCTTTGATGGATGAGCCTGTGAGCATGTGTCCCCTAGGAATAACCAGCTGGGTTCAGGGCTGGAAGAAGAATGGCTGGAAAACGAGTACAGGGAAAGACGTGATCAACAAGGAGGACTTCATGGAGCTGGACGAGCTCACTCAGGGCATGGAGATCAAGTGGGTGAGTCATGCTTCACATTGCATGGTCTGAACTAACCTAGAGGATGGAGTTGGGAAGGGGTATAGTGAGGAGGTTAAAGTAGTAGTTTCCATAAAGTTAATGTATTTGTTAGCTGTGTTAATTAGACACAAGAATGGGTTTCATTGTGACATATCCTACTTGTACATCATGTTTTGGGCGTACCTGTGCCTTTCCTCTTTCCCTTCTTCCATGGTTTTCTGTTTCCTGTGTTTAATTGGTTGTGTACAAGAGTGCAAATGAGTTGTTGTTTACAGCAGCATGGACACCTTAGCAATGTCTACAGCACTGAAGAAAGTCTATCCTCCCTCATAAACCATTAGTAGAAGCCCAGGAGTGAGGTGACCTCATGGACCCCTCCCCCATCTGGGAGAGTTTTGACAGGTCCAGCCTTGGGCAGACCTGCTGGAAGCTGCTAATCCTAGCTTCGATGACTTCATGAGAGCAATAGCATGTCTTGCTTGGAAGGCGGCTTCTATAACACTCCACTCCTTTCTTTGGCTGTTACGTTCTTCCCTCTTCTCCCATGATGTACCCTGCCTGAGCCTTCGAGGGGTTGACACAGATGTCCCATTTATGGCTGAACACTCAACAGTCACTTATCTCAGGCCAGTATGGGTGTGCAGTAATCGCCACCCACTTAAAAAAGAAAGAAAAGATTAAGCTAACAGCATTAATTTATGAGCAAAACATCAGACATTTAGCAAAACAGTAGTAGCTCTCCCAGTAGAGCCTGTGATTGCCCAGTACATGCTTTGATAGGTTTACAGTACCAGATGAATTCCTTCTGTAGGGTAGGCTGTAACTCCATCAGAAGACTTGTCACTATTACTCTAGTGTGCACATTTTATCTGTTGGGTTGGTGTTATGGCATGTTCACAGCTGAGGAAGACTTCTTTCTTACCAGCCCTCATAGCACCTTCCCAAGATAGAGAGCTAGCCAGCAGAGTGACAGCTTCCAAATGAGTTTCAGGTTGGTTTCTGTATGTCCTGCAGCCAAGGTGTGTGTTGTCTTCAGCAGTAGGGTCTTAGCATCTAGTTCTGGTGGCCAACCAAGAGCAGTGGAACAGCCTGTATTGTTCTGGGGGTCACGGTGAACTTGTTAACCAAATAGTGTATATATTCTTGTCATCTTATGCCATATGGTTGGTTGGAGGCAGGCAGTTGTAGCTCCAGTTGGTCTGAAATGTGCTGTGTAGCAAGAGTGATCTTGATTGAGTCTTTGATGCTGCCAGTGCTGGGGACTGCAAGCACATGTCACCTCAGTTTGTGTGGCACCGAGGGTAGAAATACTCTACTGGCGGAGCCATGACCCTGTTCAGAGGCTGGGGCTGTGAACATGAGCTTTGGCTGCCAGTGTCTTCTAGATGTGAAGTCTAGCCATGCACAGTACAAATAAACATCAGAAAAAAATTCAAGGGAGTTTTATTTTAACAGATGCACATTCCTGGTCACTCTGGATTTGTGGGCAATGAAGAGGCTGACAGGCTGGCAAGGGAAGGCGCGAAGCAGTCTGAAGACTGAGCAAAGTAGTTGCTGTACACGCAGACCCCAGGCAGTGGCTGTTCCTTTACCCTGATGTGCATTGAGGCCACAGCACGGAGGACTTGACTGGGACCTGTGACACAGCTTGATGAGAAGTGCTTAAATAATGGAAAGGGAAGGTTGAGTTGGCCCTTGTGTGAAATTTCAGTTTTTGTGCCTTTTAGATCTGATATTCTTGTTTGCTTTGTTGCAGTCTGACCCAAAATGCTCCAGCAAGCTGGGCGGTAGTGGCGCACAAAAACAAAACAGAAAAGTACTCCAACTTGATTTTAGTAGCAGTCAGTGAGATACTACTGCTCAGTATGTGTGGTCTGAAGGTTCCAGAGTGTCCATTTTCCTTCCAGTGTACACATAAGCCTCCTGTCCCTCCTGGCACCCTGTGCCTCCGTGTGCATCAATGATGATGTGCCCCAAGGCTGGTCTTGGGACAGGCAGAGCCTGCACCCAGAAGACCTTGGCTCCGGAACTACCTTGTAGGGACAGCTGAGAACTTTAAAAACCAAGATTCATGAATATATTGCTAATAGATTTCTTTGGCTATTTTTATTATTTATTTTTATAATAAAACATACAATAACAACACAAAATACATCTAGTTTATATTTAGTTACTGTTAAAAGTCGAATGTCCCTTACTATCTAAAATTAGAAATTGAGAAAATCACTCTAGAGAAATGGGATGGTCAAATTGTTCTCAGGCAAACAAACCCTCACAGCCCTTAAGGAATAGAGCATTGTGCAGCCTCACTCTAGAGAAGATGGGAATGACGGGGTCACTGAGACAGTGCTGTTACCTGATCTGACTCTGAGTGCTGGAGCCCAAGGCAGGTGGAGTCACTCCTGAGAGCCAGTACCAGCTGCAGTTCACACGCTGTCCATCTTACTCTGCAGCTGTCACCATGACAGCTGTGCATGTGAAGATAGTATGTTTTGAACTGGGTGTTGGTGGTGCATGCCTTACTCAGGAAGCAGAGGCAGGTGGATCTCTGTCAGTTCAAGGCCAGCCTGGTCTACAGAGCTAGTTCTAGGACAGGCTCCAAAGCCACAGCGAAACCCTGTCTCTGAAAAACCAAAACAAACAAACAAAAAACCAAGTATGTTTTGGGTGTCATAGCAGGACTCTGAAACTGCTTGAGAAGCACAGGTGTGTCTCAGGTGGGCAGGGTGGTTGGCATCCACCTCTGCTAGCTGGCGAGTGATCTGTGTAGGAAGGCCAGCTCAGAGCATGCTGGTGGGAGTGGGAAACAGTGCATGCTTCATAAGATCAAGGACCTGCCTGACCTGAGCTCAGAACCCCAGCACCAGCACTGTTGAGATATCCACTCTGCCCACACCTGTTGCACTGACCACACCTGGGCCTCAGCTCGATCTCTTGCTTCCTGGTCCGGTTGCAAAGAGCATCAGGGTGGCATCCGTGGAGCAGGAACCTCGGCGGTCATCTGTTTCATGTGTAAGTAAATTATCCCGGAATAAACTACACTTTATCCAATACTGAGTCCAGTGATCTTATTTCCCAGGCTTCACACCATCACCAGGTGGGCATAGCCAAAGCACTCTCGGATCTCCAGTACTCTGAGGGGTGAAGAAGACTTTAGGACATCCAGCCTGGCCAAAAGTCTGAGCTCCAGGTCCAGTGGTTAGTGAGTCTCAAGGGAATAGGACAGAGGGACAGAGCAGGACACCCACATCTGTACGTTTGCATGAGCACAGAGTCGTACATTAGAACCTGTAATTTCAGGGTTTGGGAGGCAGAGGCAGAAGGGTCAGGAGTTCAAAGTCAGCTTAGGCTGTGTAGCAAGTTTGAGGCTAGTCTGTGCTTCCTGAGATCTTGTCACAGAACCTGTTTTTGTTTGTTTGGTTTGATTTTTTTTTTTTTTTTTTTGAGACAGGGTTTCTCTGTATTGTTTTGGAGGCTGTCCTGGCACTCAACTCTGTAGACCAGGCTGGCCTCGAACTCACAGAGATCTGCCTGCCTATGCCTCCCGAGCACTGGGTGGGACTAAAGGTGTGCGCCACCAACGCCCAGAACCTCTTAACATTTTTTTTTGTATGCTTGTTTACTGAGGACTTATTGAGTCTCTAACTTGGTGGGTAAAGCTCTCTGCTAGTAAGCTAAATCTCAGCTCACTGTGTGTGTAGGCTGGAGAGTATGTCAACTGTCTGTCTTATTCTCCACCTGTAAAAGATTTTTGTTAGCATATATTATATGTAATAGATTTTATTAAGTTTTCATACACCTGCATGGTGTATTTTGACCATTTTAATCACCCATAACCCTGTCTTGCTGTTCCCACTCCCCAGTAGTCCCTTTTCTGAACCGGTCCCTCCCCTTTACTTTATATTAACTGCTAACCTCTAAACGATGTTCTACAACAAAGGTCTCAATGTTGTTGGCTCAATGTTAAGATTGGTTAGAGGATAGGATCCAGTTCTCCTGATGTGTTTTACACAAAGTCTAGTGCCATGCTCAAACCCTAGGGTAATAATACACTAAGGATATCCCATGAGAAATCCTGTGACACTTGTAAATTTGCCTGTATTTCAGTAGTGTGGTATTCATAATAAAATTGCTTTTGGAAATAGATGCATAGTCCAGTTGGTCAGCCAGCATACCCGTGTCTCATGGAATGGGTGCATATTACAGTTGGAGTGTGTGTGTGCGTGCGTGCATGCATGCTGGTGCTCTCCAAGGCTAGCAGCAGGGTATTGGGTCCACACCATGCAGTGTGAGTGCTGGGAACTGACCCTGAACCTTCTTTCTGTAAGAGCAGCAAGCACTCTCAGCTGTCAACCCTCCTTTTCTCCAGCCCCACTGCTTGTTTTGTTTGTAACAGTATCTCTCACTGACTGAACTAGACTATCCAGCAAGCCAAGTCCCAGTATTCCGCTGGTCCCCACCTCCCCAGTGCCAGGATTATAGGTGCATACAGGGTTATAGGTTTTGTGTGTGTGTGTGTCCCCTGGGTGTGTTCTCATTCCTGTGTGCAGGTGTATATGGAAGTGTGTGGTGGGTGTTTTTTTCAGTTGCTCTCCAATTCATTTATTTTGAGACAGGGTGCTATTCTGTGACAGCCCTGGCTGGCCCTGGAGCTCTATGGATTTGTACACCAAGATGGCCTCAGACTCAGAGATCACCTGCCTTTTCGCACTAGGATCAAAGACATGTGCCTCCACACCACTGAACGTGAGTTCACTAATTTAGCTTCCATGACTGTGTAGGCTACTAGGAAGAGTTCAAGATTGGCCCAAGCAATTTAGCAAGACACTGCCACAAAATGTCAGAGGGGGCTGGGGACCTAGGTCTGTTGGTAAACTGCTTGCTACATAATCAGGAGAATCCCAGTTTGGATTTCTAGACCCACATGAAAAGCCAGACATGGGCTGAAGAAATAGCTCAGCCAGTAAAGTGCTTACCACACAAGAGTGAGGACCTGAGTTCAGATCCTTAGCACTTGGGCAAAAGTGGGACATGACCTCATGTACATAAGGCCAGCACTGGGGAAAAGGATTAGGCAGATTACTAGGGACTGCTAACCAGAGCCCACCAGCTAACTTATGATTGTGTCCTTACCACATAGAGGGTATTGGGTGGTTTCCTCCCATTTAATTAGGGCAAGGTTGGGTGCTCAGCACAACCTGCTGAGTCAGGGGCCTTCATCTGGCTAGGTCATGGCTGCCAGGGATTGGGGGAGGGCTAGGTGAGGGTCTGGTTTACCATGGCAATAGACACAGTATGTGTTTGTTGTTGGGGAAGTATGCCAGGTGCCAGAGGAGGCCAGAAGCCATGGCTCCCCTGCAACTAGAGTTGCAGGTGGTTGTGAGCTGCCTGATTGGGTGCTGGGAACCAAGCCCTGGTCCTATGCAAAAGCAGCAAGTAATTTTTACTGCGGAGCTATATCTTAATACCTACATCTGTGGCTTTTTAAAAGAGGGAGACCTGAGCTGGCATGTGTCCTCTCCTTACAAGATGCACCTGCCCCTTACCTGTCAGGTGTAGCCTATGCATATTGGACTTACCAACCTCCTTAACTGTATGAAGTAAAATTCCATTTTTTAAATGAATCATTTAATCTACGCTGGGCCTGGCAGGACAAGCCTGAGGCAGGAGGATGTCAAATTCATAGCCAGCCCGAGCTACTCAGACTCTTGTCTCGAACATTAAACAGAAGGCCAAGGATAGAGTTCCTCTGTAGAGTTCTTGCTTGGTGCACAAGGTCCTGGCACAATCCCTGGATCATTATGGAAAGACACCCCTAACTGGTGGCTGTCTGTCACAGCTGCACAAAATGGACTGACAGGGTGGGGGTGCCGGGGACTGCACTCAGGGTTTTTCACATGCTAGGAGAGCACACAGCCACCCAATGGACCTGGTTCTTCATGTAATTAACAGCAAGGGTGTCCTTCAGAAAAGCCACTGCCTCTGGAAAGCCAGTATTATAACTGCTTGTGGCACTCCTCTAAGTGCCCCTCCCCCGCTGATTGCCTTGCATTTCCCAGGCAAGCAGCCCCATTGCCTGCTGAGGACACTCACTCCACTCCTTCTTGAATTAGAGTCTCTCTCCCCACCATCTTGTCTGATGGCTAATTGCCAGCCTCCTTGCTCTTCCCACACAGGTGGGTACAGAGCCGAGAGCGCATGCTGTGGGTGAATCAGGTCTCTCAACCTTCAACGGTTAGGATGCTTTCCTGTGATTATCTCTTGGCAACCCCAACCTCCAAAAGTACATTGCTGAGCTAATGTACACTCCACGGCTTCTGAAGGCTGCACTGCCCTTGGACATTCTCCGTTCTTTCTTCCCTCAGCAAGGAAGGCTTTGTTTTCACCTGATGATGAAGCTTTGCTGGCTGCTTTCCCATCACTGTCCACATGCCACCTGGACACCTGCTCCCCAGTTGGCTTTCCTTGCCAGTCTTCACCCACTGCCTGGATGTGGCTGGAGTCCCAACATATGCGGGAGGCATCTCAGTGTCCTGGGTTACCAGGCATAAAGGGAAATCCATTTCCCCAAATCCCAAAAGGCAAAAGGGACTAATATCTACTTGTGATGCCTATTAGCATACCAAAGAGCATGCTGGCCTCCAGTCTCCCAGGGCTCCTCTCTCTCCTAGCCCCAGCCTACCCTAAATTTCTACAGCTCACAGGCTTCCCTTTCCCCATCTGTTCAATTCTTAGAACCTTGCTATTTTGGCTCTGTACTCTACATCTGTCTCCCTCTTTCCTCTCTGCTCTCCCTCTCTCTATGTTCCTCTCTCTACTCTGCTCCTGCTTCTCTCATGGTCTGGTCGAGTCTGCTGGCCCATGCTCAGAGTACTACAGGACTTTCTCTCTGCTCTGGACTCTTGCAGCTGTGTAGCTGACATTTTCTTTGGCCTGCCAACCAGCTCCCCAGTGAAGACACGGAGAGTTATTATTAATTATGAATGTCTGGGCTTAGCTTAGGCTTGTCCCACTAGCTCTTTTAATGTCTATTCATCTACATGTTTTGTTTTGTCTTTGTTTTTCTAGACAGGGTCTCTCTGTGCAGCGTTGGA